CTGAGTGTTTGCTCCCAAAACGTTCTACACCAGGGAAAGCTCATGATTTCCTGTACCGAGCATGGACGTTTCTCAAATAGTTGTTCCTTAAAATCGAAGGTTTTCCGTTGGTTTCTCGTTAAATTCCATCCAAAAGCGGTCCAACTTCCACGGGTCCCTTGGTTTCACAGAGCCGAGGTGAGGCCTAGGGCCTGGCGCCGAATCTTTCGCATTTCCCGGACTGTCACCATGGTGTGACCTTTCGGATTTTTTTTGTTTTCTGTTTGTTTGTTTGTTTGTTTGTTTGTTTGTTTGTTTGTTTGTTTGCGTGTAAACCAAGATACAAAAGCAACAACGCATGGGATCACAGACTTGCCATGGGTCTTACAATGATTTGCACAATCTGGGTAATGAATCGGGAATGCTGTTTCGCAGCTTAATGTGGCTGACTTGACCAGGCTGCTTCTATTCGTCAGCGCAGTAGAACGTCGACACCCATTTTCGTCCTACGTGGGGTTCATGTCAAACAGTACTGAAAAGAGCGGGTCCCCACGATCAACGTGCTACTGACCCCACCAGACAGGAATCATAGGGGTGATAGTATGTATTGAGCAAGATCAACCTATGCGAAAGCAACCTGAACATAACGGAGCCCAGCGTGGAACTACTATTGTGCCAGCACATCTGCGTCAGATGCTCAAGTCAGCTACCAATTCAACCAAGAATCGAGGCTTAGCTTCTGTGCACCGTCAAGGCCGCTCCGCATGCAGATTGCATCCTGCCACAGGCCTTGTGGTGCTTTCAGCGGCCCGTCGTCACAGGCCCTCAATGCTTCAGATAGATTGTCCAAAGTTGCAGCTGAGATTTCATCCTTATGATTGTTCGCTGTTGCCAGTGACGGACGGACAAAGGCAGAATCAATGTTTAGCCGCTGCAGTTACACGTTCAATATTTCCGCAAGCTGCATGATTGAAACTTGTGGCAACGTTTCACCCATGGAGTTTTATGAGGATTTGTTCTATTGAGTGAGGGTTTGCTGCGCGTTCAAGTTCCAAACATGACAGCGAGATATATTTAAGTTCTTGTCGAATAGGATGAATGAATGATAGGATTGTCCTCTATGGTTGGTGGACTTAAGTCCTAGTGTCATTTTATGACGTGCATCAAGGGGTCTATGTCCAGTTAACCTGGTTGCCTGGCAGGCTCACAAAACTCAAACTGGCAAAGCCAGTTGCGTTGCAGCGACAGCGCGCGGGGAAAAGACTGGGCAACGAACTGCCAGCAATTGCCTGCACACTCACAAGATCTAACAGGGTACTAGCTTCCCACACGCAATGTTGTTGTTGACACAACTCCATAGTATGTTTCAAGGAGATACTTGCAAGCTGAATCAATCTTGGGTTGCCTTCAAATGGCGAACCGCTGACTTTAAGAACAACCCCCAAAACATGTGCCGCTGTTCATTTGGTGTGCTGTCGCCAGGATGACAAGCGCCGAAGTCGTGAGAGGCGCGCGCAGAATACCTGCGCGAAGCAGCGGATGCAGGGTTCCATTTGTTGCTTACCCGATGGTAGACTTAAACTCTTAAAGGTGGAACTGAATCCCGAGTGGAAGTCTACCTTGAGTAAATCAAAGATGGAAATCTGACGGGATCTATGCCGCTTAAAGTGGCGATGGCCCGGGACCACGAAGTGAGGTTGGTGAGGCTGGTGAGACATCACTCAACTTGATTCCTGTTTGTCAAGAAATGTCCCGAGGGCGTCCTGATTCCAAAGTCCCGAGCTCCCTGGGGCCTTCCAGCAACAGCGGCGTGGACAAAATAGCTTGCATGAGCCACACTGTGCAGTGTGGAGGCAGTTGTGCACGTGAAGAGCGAGAGAGGAGCATACTGCATGCAGCCTGAGTTCAAGTTAAGGCAATTCGAAGCGAGCACGATGCCGCTTGATCCGTCTCGGTGGCTGATTGACTTGTGCTCGACTTTGCTGATGCAAATGTTAAGATATGTGTTGAAAGAGCACCACCCAGCCAATCGGGAGCAATAAGCCTGCTCAATCCATGCCATCGTTGCTGACAGCATGTCTAGAATTGTCCAGTTCAATTCTTGCACCAGATTTTGTCGCCATGCTTCTACAGCCCGCCCTTGATGTTCGCTGGGACTGCAGCCGCTGGTTGGCTCCCTCGACGTCCCAACGCGGGCTTTACAGACGTATTCCTTCGCAAGGCACAGCGACCCCGATGCTGGTGGCGAGCTTGGCAGGCAGTGGGGGTTTTGGACGCCGCCGCAAATTATTTCACATCCAAAGGCAATTCCGCTAAACGCTGTTCCATATCAATGTGCGGGAGTAGCTAGCAATGGGCTCCGAGCTTCATATGGGTGTGGGTCAAAATTAAGCCAGCAGGAGACCACAGGTTGCATTTCCATTTAGCAGGGCTCCATTTTGGGCACCTATTCTTGACCCACAGCCACATTGCGCCACGCTCAAGACAGCTCTTTTTTTGGGGTAGGCATGGTCCTGGACCCAGCCGCGGGCCCGAGTCACCCGATCTTGGCTGCCACCCCAAAGCTGTTGCCGACACTTTTGCCACATGAAGCGGTTCTCATGGCGGGCCCTTAGTTTTGACAGATCCCGTCCCCGTCAACGACTTGGCCACTGAGGGATTGCAATATGTATCAGTGGATCGCATGCACAAGCTTTACATCTGGTTTGACATGGGCACATGCTCGGAACAGATGGGAGATGAGACAGTTGCTGGCACACGCTTATGAGCCCTTGCAGTTCTGGATTCATGTTCCAACATGCTTCCGTCAACAACGTCCTGATGCAAGCCTTCGAACAGACATTGCATGCTTGCGCAGTCATTTTCCCTTCATTTCGGACTCCTTGGGTGGCAGCTGTGTTACCCAAAGTGTTGCCAGGCGGATATTGCAGGCGCAGGGGCAACAACACAAAGCTGAGGCGGGCGTTCAGCACATGACGGACGTGTTCAATGCCTGAATTTTGAATTTCCTTCACAAAGCCTTCGCTTCAGTTTCCGGCTCCCTGCTCTCCAGCCCCAACTCAACTCTGGCTCACCCCCTTTTGCGCCGTGGTCGGTTCTTGTTGTGTCTCAGCGTTCCTAAGCCGCCAAACCTCGTGGGGTCGCCCTCACGTCCGGTCTGGAGTTCTGGAGAAGGCGGCAAAACGCAAGAACGGAAAAACGAGAAAGCAGTTTTCGCATGTTTTCGCGCGTCCACCTGTCTTACAAACTCTTTCCTCACTTTTATATTTCCACGTTGTTGTGTTTTTTGCGTTCTGCTTGTTTCCGTTTTTTGCAGTTGTCACGTTTTGCAATTGTTCTGTTTTCGAGGGCTCTGCGCGCAAACCACAAGTTGTTCGGGTTGTCGTGGTTTTCGCGCATGCGTGTTTTCATGAGTTTGCAGCTTTTTTTGCAGTGGGGGTCGGGGTCCTTAATTTGGTGCGTTTCCTTCATGTCCCCTTTTAACCAGCCAAACGTCAGGGCAAGGGCAATATAAATATATATATATATATATGTGAAGCAAAAAGCTGCGAGATACTCGTGTGTCGCAAAACTCGCGGACCCTCTTGATGCTCTGCCAATTTTGTGCTTCCGACTCGGAAGAAAGCATATGTGCGATTGGGTTTGGGTTTCCTACGGAAAGCGATCGAGCTTATGGGCGAGAAAAAGGAAGGGACCTGGAGCGGAACCCAAAATTGTGACTCCCAAAAGTGTCCAATTCCTACACGAACTTTTTTCGCTAGACATGATGGCTTTTTAGGGTTCCATGTCAATCTGTGGAGGGTGCCTTGAAACATTACCTGACACGCTCCCATGCACTAACATGGAACCTGACCCAGGGATCCTGGAAGACTTGCTCCTTTGCAAGAGCGAGTCTCCAGTGGGGTCTGACCATGTTGGACGGGCGGGGAACCCTTAGTAAATGACAGAAGGCTCCCCGCAACCCAGAGTTATATGTGTTATCAGACATGTTAGAACTAAACTATATTATGATTATGTTTGTTGAATTGATTTCTTAAAACAGAAAGGGGGAGACAAAAAACATGATACGTTTTTGTTGCTGCAGAAGTATTGCAAAGATGGCAACCACAACACCAAAGAACTTGACAACTCAGAATACAACTATAATGCTAAAGTTTGATATCGCAAACAGCGTGTTGAATAATTTGGTACAATAATATGATACTATACTTGTCACCGTGTTTGTATATTGCCATAATGTCGCTGTTTGAGTCTTTCATTGGCAGGGAGTGGGCTGGATGAGTGTTATCGAAACCACTTATCTGTGTGGAATGTGTATATCGGTATAAAAGACATGTTTTTTCAGCTTTACCTTGATCATGATGAACCCTGTATATGAACTATGTATATGTTGAACTTACTCGCGGTTTGTACAACTTTATCTTGAGCTCTAAATGCGCTATTTACGTTGAGCTTGCTCGTGGGTTTTGCTACTTCATCTTGACCTGGATGGACATGTAGTTCACGGTTTTCGCTCGTAAGTTTGGGGTTTCGCGTTTTCACTTCTTTGCAAAGCAGGGTGCTGACGCTGATGATTTGTGAACGTGGAGCCGCCTGTTTTAGCTTTCTGCGGGCATATTAGCCATGGGAATACGCACACATTCTTCATCCATGGAATTACCAACTTAGAGTTTCCAGCCACCTCCTTTGCTGAGAGTCACTTGGTCGTTGGTTTCACGTGTTTTGTTTGAAATTTAGTTGGATTAACCTTCTTTGCGGCAAGCAGAGAAAAACATACCCGGGCGCGCTTGTACCCATACCCATCAGTGGAAACAGGTACTGTCTTGCAAACACTTAGTGTAGAACCTTTTGCGGGGGTGCTCGGTGTACCCAATTTGAGACTATCTCAAAATTACGATGGAACCGTCTTCAAAAGTGCTCTTCCATGGCCAGAAACGGTAGTGCCCGCAAACGGCCTTTCAAACCAACCAAACAAGTTTCCGACCAAGACCCGCCCCATCAGGGGGTCCGCTTTCGACGTGATGGAGGCGGAGGGCAAAGGTTTGGGCGCCTTCGCGGCAGCGAATTTGGAGCCGGGGGACCGGGTCTTGGCCGAGCGCCCGCTGCTGCGCTTCGAGGACTCTGATGCTGGGCTCAGGAGGACAGCAACTCGGGGCCCGGCCCCGGGGCAGACACGTGGCGTAGCACCAGTGACTTTGAATTGTTCGATAGTTGGAACAGTCTCGCAAGTGAAGTGGGACGCATGTTGTAGCACCAACCCCCCAAACCAATTACCCGCAAATTGGTTTCAACTGAACTCTTATATAATTGGATACGGCACGTATCTACTGATATCTCCGAGTACTTTGTGGGTAAATCTTCAGAACAAAACAACAACAAGTCTCCCCAAGGAGAAGTGTCGCAGTTTGGGGCGTAGATTCAACTGGGAGGGTTCGGAGCGTCAATTCCCTTTTGGGAACTCGGTCTGAGTTTTGTTGGGCTTTGGTCCTGGGCTTGACCGCTCCCTTTGTAGCCTACTGATGTTTTGCAGGGATTCGATGATTGAAAGCCTTCGGCTTTTTCGGGCGGACAAGAGTCCAAAGGAATCATTCTGCCCGTCCTTCAGCCAATCTTGAGGGTCCCACATGTCAACTTAGCATCAACCTGAAAGCCAGGACGGAGCTGGCGTGCGAGCGGCTGCCGCCATCGCAGCGCGAGGAGGCGCCAGAAAAAGACCAAGTGTAGCTATCCGCTGGGTTTAACAGGGTCCTTTGGATTTAGCAGTCCACTGGGGAAGACCCCCGTAACTCTACCTGTCCCATGGTTTAGCTGGCTAGGGGGTCGGAACCCCGCAGTCCCGCAATGCGAGGTGTTGAGCCTGGAGGACTCTTGGTCTCTGGATGCCAAGACCTTCCGGGGAATCCTCGAGACCAACGGCATAGACTGCGAATTGCCCATCGGAGAGTCTCCTAAGGCGAGAGACACGTCCGGAGAAGCGGATGTTTTCCAATTGGGTTCAGTTTTGTTCGAGACATGTGGCGGATTCCATCGGTTTGTCCAACAGGGCAGCGGGGCAAGGCCATATGAGCTATGGGCAAAACTCCTTTTGTTTGTGATTCCTGTCAACTTCGGCCCTAGTGGCGGAAGTTGCAGGCCATGGCTCAGAAGCGAGAACACACTGACCCGAAAGCATGGACAGCTGCAGACTGCCGGTCTGGACAAGTCCAGACAGACATCTTCTGCAACGCCCGCCCAGGAAACAACCACGCGGCTGCACAGGGCACACACAGTTCAAAAGGGTGTGTCCCGGAACCTCACTCCGCGAGACTTGAGGAGCTCACCAACTAATGTACTAGGCAGATCACAGCTCCGACCAAGTCTGTACAATCAAGGCCTGTGCGCTGGTTACCGTGCAAGGAATGCGAGGCATTGACCTGAGACTGCCATGAGCAGCTTGCTTTGCACCCAACAGGCCACTCCAAAACATTGGAAGAATACCTGTGCACGTATGTCATCTCCACGCTCAGGTTCACTAAAGGACAATGAAGGCCCGCTGTAGCCACCCTTTCAACATCCAAGTCGCATCCAGGGTGGCAGCGCCAACCATTGCAAACACCAAGCTCTCATCGTCCGGATGACCGACCCATGGCGCCGCAGGCATGTAGACATGTACAACAATTCGGCTGAGAGGATGAACCTCTCAGCATCAGCACTTCACAGACCAAGTGCACCTATGTAGATCCGCACCACCACAACCCAAAAGTTTCCTCCAATTCCTGCAGCTCCAAAAGGCCGAACTCTCCGCCGTGTTGACGAGACCAGAGCAAGCCATGGCCAAAGCCGACATTTTTCTGGGAGGGGCTTGGAGGTAGTGGTTGGTCAAAGCTCCTGTGGTCATGGTTCCCTCAATAGGAATTGCTACAATTCCAAAGTAGACGGGTCTTTTGACCATGGCTCTGTTGGACATGGGACGCTTATTTGACGCTTGGTCACGGTTTGGAAGCTCTGTCGACCTGAGGGGTTGTTGAAGTCATCATCGACTCATGAACCGCAAAGTGTGTCGACTTCATCCTTGTCAGGTGCTTTGCTTGAAGCTGAGCCGCTTCAACCACTCGTGCAATCCCAATTGCGACTACAGCTGGAATCAGCAGAACGGGCGCATGGAGGTCTACGCGCAAACCGCCATCACTGTGGGCGAGGAGATGTGCAGTCATGCTGGTCTGGAAGAATGCAGTGAATCAAAGCTTATTCGTAAGCTGCTGAAACTCCGACGCAGTGTGGATGTTCAAGATTAATCCTTCTTAGCCAGCGAGCGTCCTCCAAGACAGTATCGCAGTTGGCGAGTGTAAAAGAGATCACGGCTTGTCCTGCACCTTGTCTTTTGTTTTTTTTGGGAATGGGCTCTTGCCAGTTGTGCTCCCTGCTGAAAAGCTGAGTTATATCAATCCACATAAGATGTCAATTTCACTGCATGCTGTTTGGAGGTACTCGGGAAAGCAAAGACTGCCGACTGGAACGGACAATATGCGTGGCCAACCAATTATCCGACAATCGAATATGGAATATGTGTTAATATGGTCAGGTTATCCCAGCAAGCTGACATTTCGCCATTTTGCTGCGAAACGAGGTGGTCTCCCCCAAATCAAAGAGATCAGAACGAGATAGTGTTGTAGAAAAGCCCACGCAAACAGCAGCAAACCAGACCGAGTCCAGAACGAGCCGTGAGTTGCAATTGTTCGAGCTGCAGCTGCCAAAGCGCAAAGCGCTGCAAAGGAGATTGCCCCCCCTCTTGATTTGCATCGAGTTTGTTGTAAAGCACGTCTAAATGAGTTCAAAACGAAATCACGCCACGTTTGGCGTTCTGGATTGCAAGCTAATAAGTCAGCTGGCCATATAGCTGTAATCTACAAGCGGCCAGCTGATTGCTTCAAAATGAGCGGGAAGCCGAAGATGTATTGCCGAGACATAATTGGTGTGGCCAACCCCTCGGCTAAATTCAGGAGCAGTTGTGTTCCTTGTTTAAACTGCAAGTTGTGTAGTTTCCTGAACAATACGCACGACGTGGTTGCTCAACGTTACAGTAGATAAGTAGAACGGCCTTGGGAAAGTGAGTTATCTCAAGTCATGTTGTGGTTCTTTCCGCCTATGGTCACCCTTTGCGAGCAAACCTGCGATAAGGTTGTATATGGCAACTCAGACCTCACATGAGCTTACTCCTCCGGAGCCAATCGTACCTTGATTTGGGTCCCGAAGGGTTGAAACCCTGATTTTATGGGGATTAGTACGCGTTTGCGGAATCACGTTAAAAAAGGGTGGCTGGTTTGAGGGTACCCTTTGTATTGGGGACCCGGCAGTCCGGCAGTGGGAGAAAAAACCGTATTTTTATGGATAGGGCGCATCTATGAAGAGGGGAAGGGCTTGCCGTGTCAGATTGGTTTGACGGGAACTCAGAAAGAAAGCCACGCTCTCGGAGGGAGGTCGGGGTGATAGGAGCTGTGCATTCCATACATCGACCTCCGTGAGCCCTGGGAGCTGCGCCAGCAGCTGCTCCGGGAGAACTGGCGCTTCTCCTGCCGCTGCGAGGTGTGTGCGTGCAAGGCGCTTCAGGGAGTGAGGGAAGGGCACGATGCCTTTTCTCCCCTAGGTTCACGAGCTTACTTCATGCATGAATTACCCTGGCCGTGCGGCTTTTGAGTCTGAAAGGAAGTGGTGAGGATGGACATCCTGAGGGTTTGAGGCTTTGTCTCTTGAGGGAGCCTGAAAAATGGGCGGTGTTCCCTTTGCTCGCCCATCCGCAGAAGGCTGCGTTCCCTCAAAAGAAGACACGCCCAGTGCAGGGGCCCACGGCATGCCTGCCAGGACTCCGCGGAGAGCGACCGGCGGCGCGTGCGGCTGGGGGAGCTGAGTGCGCTCATCTACCGGAAGCGCCGAAGCCGCAGCCAGCTGAGCATCGCCAAGAAGCTGTTGAAGTTGTACCAGGAGGAAAATCTCTATGCGAGCCTCGAATTGGAGAAGGGAACGGAATGACACCAAATGCAAGGTTCCGAGGTTGTGAATTTTTAGGACCAAAACCCAAACTTGGCAGCGGTTCCTGCTGCTTCCTTTCGGGCAATTTTCAACCAGCCTGTTGCCAGGCCTCGGGATTTCTAGGGACGTCCAAGGCGCCAAACACCAACATGGTGGGGAAACGGACGGTTGGAAAGAAGGATGGTTGAAGATATTGGGGTTCATCAACCCCACAAAAGCACAAAAGGTACACCACAGCTGCAGACAAATAAGTGTTCGCCAAAATCCAATGTCAGTCGTCAGGACCACATGAACCTCGAACATCCATGCCTCAGTTTATATTGATCAACTCCATGCGCCAGTTTCTATGCTTTGCTCTGGGTAGCTTTGCTCGAGGCATAGCTACAGGCTGGAGGCCTGCAAATTCGGATACGCTGCCTCCCTGGACTTGGAGGAGGCAGACGCGCCCCGCTTCGCACGCCTGGGCTTGCGCTGCGCCATGAGATGCCCGAAACTTGGAAAGCGCCGGTTTGGTACGGAAGAGTTTGGTGCAGTTTGGGCTACCTCGCCCTTTTATTCGGATCTTCAATTCGGCGGCCCAATCCTTTCGAATGGACTCCGCAAAGCGGTTCAGTTGTTTGCCTCTCAACTAGATCGACTCCCGAGACGTTGCAATGGAAGTGAGCATTCGAAGTGGCACGCAGTCGATGCTGAGGTCATGGCCCTGATCACGAAGAGACGCAGGCAGGACAAACCAAAGGTGGCTTGGGGGGAGAACGAGCTCACTTTGATGTAGGACCTCTACTTGGATCTCTGACGTTCAGGGGTCGGAGTTATTGCAACTTTAAATTGCCATGCATCGTTCAGGAACTTGTACGCATTGTTTGCCTGGCAGAACCATTTTGCCTCAACTAGGGCTTTCCTTGCAAAGCAATAATCAAGATCAGGAGTTCTGCTGATGGATTGGCAGAGGCTATTCTCACCAACGTTGAGAATCACGTGTTTTCTGAAGTTGAATAGAAGCAAGGCTTGTTGCAACTGACGTGTTGGGATGCCGCCTGAGGAGTGGCTGAAAGCCTCGAGCCTTTGGTCCTGATGTCGCAACGTCTTGCCGGGAAAGCGGCCCGCTGGAAAGCTGGATTGGGCGAGCACCGCAACAAGCCGCTGACTTTGCGCCCGGGCTTTATCGATGGTAAGCACTGAACCGGACCATCAAGTTGAGTGTTCTGCTGCCGAGCCCGTGCCCTTTGAGGGACAGTCCACCACACACCAAGCCTACCAAGCACCTTCAGCAGAGTTTTGGCGGCAGGGGCAGAGCATGGACAGAAGCAGCAAGCAAGAAGCTTCTCATGCGCTGCATTTCGAGGGGACGAGTTTTCTTATGCGGACCCACTACCAGCCCCCGCCACCAGATGCGTTGCAATCACCGGCAACAAGCTTGGTAACAGACAAGGCCATGGCCAAGAGCACGCCGCTGCAGCTTGCAAAGTTTGAGGGTCAGTCCACCATGCATCGCGACTTCCAAGCACCAGTTTTGGAACAGCTGCTGTTGCCAAGATCCACAGCCAGCCACGACACAAGTCCTCCAATCCGCTTTGAGGGGGAGTCATCCATGAAAGCACACTACCCAGCCCACCCGGTGGAGCCACCGCAAGCTGCCGCAGGCAAGCTGGACCATCAGGTTAACTGTTCTGCTGCAAAGCCACTGCCCTTTGAGGGACAGTCAACCACACACAATGCCTACCAAGCACGTCCATGAGGGCCCATCACCAGGAGGCGGCCCCTACCCGAGTCTGTTTCATTGGCAGCTGCAGCGAATAGGCTTATTGAGGGGAAGTGCATGGATCAGACCAAGTTCGAAGGCCAATCAACGACGCATCAAGACTACCGGGTGCCGCCAGTGGAAGAGCTCCAGGAGCTGATCGCTGCCACAAGCTCCTCAAGAAGCGCAAGCGGCGAAAGAAAGCCTGCCTGCCGGTTTGAGGGCGAATCATCCATGCGGGCGCACTACAGAGCACCTTCCCATGATGCAGTCAGAGGAGCTGCCACAGCCAGCGGTCAAAGAGAGAGAAGCCTGCCCACAGACCGAGTACCCAGCAGCAAGTTTGAGGGTGAATCAAACGCACTCCGCGACTTCCAAGCACCTCTACCAGAACTGAGGTACCCACCTAGTGGCGGCACAAGTTACGGCAGCACACTCAAAGCGTTAATGAAGGTTGTAATCTTCAAACTCTTCCAAAGCGCATCAATGCTTTCACTGGACTTGTCGCCCGGGCATGTCCAGCAGTCGCTAAGACTGACAGGTCCGTGGATGCGGATAGTGTAACAAGACTGACAGGTCAGTGGATAGTGCAAAAGAAAAGTCGTTGACCTCAATGGCCTGTCCATCAACGCTAGCCGACGACACCTTGAAGTGGGGATGGTGAGAGAAAAGGCGGCAGGTTGGGAGGGAAGAGAAGCTGCGCTTGAACGCATGACTCCGGCTGCAAACCATGAGGACTTCCGCAACGCTTACTCCAATCTGGAATTGGGATATGGGCTACCACAAGGGGCCGATCGAGGACCATTGAAAGCATTGTAAGTGACTCGAGGGCTTTCTGATCAATAGGTGGATGGACGCCATCAGTTCAATCTTCAAACCCCCTTAAGACATTTGTTTGTGTTTGCAACTACAATATTGCTCATTTGTGTTGCAAATACTTAACCATAGGAAAGCAATCAGACGAGAGGTGCGCATTGTTCCGTTATTTGAGGGGGGAGCATTGCAAGAATGCAAATTAGCTAGAATAATTAGGAAATCCCCAAAAACATGTTAACATGTTGTCCTTCTTTTTTTTGGGGGGGGGAATCGCAGAAATGCAAACCCAAGCAGAAAGAGCAACAGCAGTAGAATAATTGGGAAATCCACAAAAACACGTTAAGATGTTTTGTTTTTTAGATTTATATTGAGTCTAAGCACCAATGGGGGGAATCGCAAAAATGCAAAACACAAAACACAAAACCAATAGTCCCGTTTTGCCTCCCAGCAAATCTATGGAGTAAAGATGTCCCGGTATGCTCTTCAAAGAAATTACAATAGCTATCGGAGCTTCTTTTGCCAGTACTTGCCAATGCTACTTCCTTTTACACTTTGAAGGGTGGCAATTCCACATCTCAGACACATCACGTGTTTTAAATTTTACTACAGCTTGTTGCAAATTCGGGTTAGCAGGTTTGTGCGGCGCCAACTTCAAGGCCACTCCCTCCAAAGAAGACACACACGTACACTCTGATGCGAACCTTGAGAGTGGTCTAGAACGAGGGGGAACACCAACTGCTCCAGAAAAGCTGATTGGACCAGTCATTTGTGAGGAGTGGATACCTGTCGAGTATGACATTCTTGAGTTGGACTACTGCAGCTCGAAACGGGGTCTTGGGATGGAAGCCATGACGGAGGCTGCCTTTGATGGCATCGTGACTGCTCTGCTGCAATTTGCACGACATTGGAAGTGCCGGCTCCAGGCTTTGCAGCAGCTCTTGGATCAGATCTACTTTTCCTGCGCGCAGTTTCGACAGATTGTCGACCTCTTTAAAGAGTCTGGCGCAAGACAAGACGTGTATGTAACCTTCTTCAACAGAATTGTCGACATGCAGAATGAGAAGCTTGTCCGCGCCAGACTTGACATGAATGAGGTGTCCACGATTCTGTATCGACTTGGGCACGCAGGGTGCTTTCCCTACATGCAGCCTGAGCAGATGCACATCCGCCTGCATTTCAAAAATCACGAGCGGCTGTTGATGAGCTATCTTTTGAAGCTTTCGACAAAGGAAAGCCTAACATCAAGGATCCCCAGTTCACAAGCTCTGACGGAACGGTGGATGCGCTGACTCTGGGCGTTCCCAGGTGGGAGCAAATGTCCAATATCCCAAGCAAGGGGTCTTCGAGGCAGAGTATGTATGCAAGCCTGAAGATCGCAACCTGAAGATGAGCGCCCTGGCAAATCGATGTAATTCTTTGGTTTGGCGTGGTAAGACTTGCCGCTTTTTTGCCGTGGCCCCAGGTCCTACACACAGCCCCTCGTGATTTCGAAAAGTGAAAGCGTGCCAGTTACACGTTTGACATGTTGGACGGCTTTGCTTCTGGAGCCGGTCGTCGCTTGTGTTTTTTGTCCCAGGAAAGGACCTGGCGGAGCAGTTAGGTGCCTGGACCTGCACGGAGCTCGAAGAGGAGGAGATCACCTTTGTGTGCTTCTTGGGCCAGGCTGGCTGTTTAGCCAACGGGCCAAAGGATTTTGCCATTAACACCTATAATTAGGCGGGCTTCATGCTGAAGGCGACGTGTTCATGTCTCACCAGCAGGAAGGTGAAGCATGAGGCGTTGGAATCGCCATGAATGTGGCACGCACGTTTGCACTGAAGTGGCGTTTCGCAACATGAAGCAGCTCTCCAGCTCAACAGCTATCGTGAAATGCTTGTGGCCCAAGGAGCAAGGCGGCAGTGCTTGAGATTGTTCATGATTGAACTGCGTGTTTTCAATTTGCAACCCCAGACCATACTCGGTGTGTCCGACCTCGACCTGAGACAAGGCATCTGAAAGCTGGGAAGGAGCTGACAAGCCGTGCCTTTTATTCCCAGTAACAAACCGTTGGAGGGGATTTTTGCCCGTGCGGCGCTTGGTGACCAACTGGGCCGGGAGTGGCGCAGCGCTCTCAAGTTGAAAAGCAAGCCCCGGCAACCAGCGACCCGATACCCATTTTGCAAAGGAACCATTTGCGACCCCACCACGTCTCGCCTCTCCCTCAAACAAAACTTGGGGGCAGGGCCAGGGAGTTTTCTTAATTTTCGCCTCAACTTCCATCCCTCGCAGGTGCCTCCAGACGTGGTGTCCCTGGTGGCTTGGGCCAGTCACAGCTTTGGTCCGGGGCTCTCCGGGACTTTCGACCAAATTGGCAAGGAGGTGCCTCTCGCACTCAACTGCGACGTGCCGAGCACTAATTAGACAATCCAGCGAAAGAGCTTGACACGTGTGAATCCGTGTGAATATAACTGAACACGGTTGGTTGATTGAGGCGGGATTGAGTCTCCCTGCTGTGGAGGCGGGTAACACCTGAATGTTCTACATGGAGCACGCGTGTGGATTGTGGTTCATGCAATCCTGGCAAAGAGAACAAGGATTGTGGTGTGCTTTGTTCAGTTGTTGCTTATGGTAGTTTTGCATTGGCAACATTCATTTCGGGCTGAAACATATGGCATCTGATACAAGCATAAGCACAGCAATTTTATACCCTGCGAATGGATGTTTTCAAGGCCTTTAATTTCATGCTAGAAAGCAACACACTTTTTCAGTGGCAGCTGAACAGCATGTGCCTGTTTTTCCCTTCAGGGGAATCCACAAGGCGACTCAAGGCAACGGATATTTGCAATGTGCGAAGTCCCTCTTAAGCGCGCTATCAATGGGGGAGTTTTTGTTTTTTGAGATGCACGGCTTGCGCTCATCGCTGGCTCCAGCAATGAACGTAGCCCCCGGCTGAAGTCGGGCTCACAGGCCGGGCTTGGCTTCAGCCGATCCCCTCCCCCAGGAAAATAGCGTGGTTTCCCCCTCCATACATCATTTCTCTTGTACCCAGAGAGGGGACATGTCAACGTGCGAAGGAACATCCTTGTCTCTGGAACCCCAAGAACTATCATTTGCAAAGGAAAGGGGAGTATTAGGGGGACGTCCCCCTTCGATGGGGATCACTGCTGATCCACATGTGACAGAAGTTAGTTGGCAAAAGTCGTTTTCAATTTCCAGTTCCCAGCTTTTCACACCTTTGTGAGTGATTCCAAAAGGTGAAGCCTTCGTGGTCGGGTCTATGGCAAGTGTCCTTGATTGTGGAATCGTAGAAGAGGAAGTTCGGGTGGAGGTGCTTCACAAAAGCCGTCAGGGCGGTCCTCAAGTGTACAACCTTCAATCTGTGAAAAGCTGGGCGGGGGCCATGGCAACAACACATGCAGAACCATCTGCGGCTGGCCGAATCAGCCTCAGTGGCTCATGTCAATGTCGATGTAATTGCATTTGGAACACAACTAGGCATTTTGCCTTTCCAGATTCATAGTGTATATGTTGCTGTTCTATATTGCAACGTGTGAGGGGAGCTTGCAACGTTTTAGGGAGTCAGACATCGCCAGCCCGCTATAGCTGAGTAAACATTGGCTACATATTTGCTCCTTCACAGTTCTTGGAGTGACACCAGCCATGTCACGTTGAGTCATGTCATGAAGAGTATATTTGGCAGAGGGCGACCCCTCCATGATGCACCTTAACCCAAGCCTAAACCACCCCTAAGCCCATCACACATCGACGACATACCCATCCCAAGCTAACCCCAAACCTACCCTGTCCACACAATCTAAACCTACTCAAGTGCTACCAAGTACCGTAAGCCAATCTGCGCTCGGTGAAGCCCATTTGAAGCCCACCTCAAACCCATACTCACCAACCCCAAAGCAAGCCTAAACATACACCAAGCCAACCCTACCCTAAACCAACCCTACGAAGAGCCTAGGCCTGCGCAACCCCCAACCTAAACTAACCCTACATCGGTGAACTGGCTAAGAACACATCCTCGTGTTTGCAAAAGATGGAACGTGGGTGAGCAATAAAGGCGCAATCCTCGCCTCTGTCCTCGAGCAATCCTCGCCTCTGTCCTCAAGCGAGGCAGCATGTGGAGGATTGCCTGTGTTTTGATCCTGCCCAGCGCGGAGCCGTCCTGAGTGCCCGCTTGAGGGGCAGAAGCCAACGTGCGAGCTTGTCTTGAAACGAGAGGCTGCGCGAATAGTTGGCTCATGTCGGGGTTTCTTCTTGGTCCGTACTCACGTTTTGAGACACAGCAATGCCTCCTGCCAAGCCCGAGGGCCTCGTCGTCGTGAAGCCTCCTTTCCAGCAGGCCTGGGTTTGGCCTTCGTTTGATGACATCGTGTCCTAGGGTAGAAGACACGATCCCACCGACACACACACACACACACACATTCTGACACAGCAACACTTCACACACCAACACACACACACACACACACACACACACACGCGCGCGCGCGCACACATTTGGAGTATCAATGCGCACCGACGACACACACCCACACCCAGAGGCGCACGAACACAGACACAAACCAACGCACTCCAACATGCCTGGAAGAGTAGCTTTGCTGGGGACTGGGGCATGTGTTTTTACTTTGTTGACTGGTAGGCTCGGCAAAATGGCGCACATTCTGATGACGCATTATTTTGCACATGTGTATGCATCAACCATGTCATTTATTTATCTTGTTGCAGATGTTTGTCACTGAAGAACTTGATGAACATGTTCCTCAGAACTAGAATAACATGCCATGCGCAAGGCGTCAGACAACCGTGATGTTACTGCTGGGATTGGTATGTGTGGCCGCGAAGATTTCTGCTTGGCTTGGGAGGCAACCTCTTTGGAAAATGTGGCTGCAACTGTTGCAAGCAAGGGTTTAT